GAATGATTATGTCCATCAAACATTACGATGAAAAATAAAAGATTATACTGGCTAAACATTCCGATGAAAATAAACAGATTATGTCGGCAATTTTCTTTAAATGATACAAATTTAGCCTAAAACACAGACTGAAATATTAAAATTATCGCCGATAATGCATAAGCATCTGTTTCTCTTTTTCTACCAGAAGCACTTATCAACGATGGAATTTTATGAAGTACAATAAAAGAATACAACAAAGATTCACTTCACACCTTTACAAATTAATTTGATAAAAATAATGGAATTAAAATGTTTATCTGCAAGGTAAAATGTTTGTCTAAAGAAAGAGAAAAATTCATTAGAATTTAAAAATTATAGAAACAGAAAAAGAAGGAGATAATTAGTACATTCTCATGTAAAAAAAATGGACAACGACTTTAAATGCTGACAAAAACTAATGCATAAACTTCAATTAATTAAAAAAAAGCAATAACATTTCTTTAGATTGTGAAAACCATTTCAATTATTTAATTAATGAACTACTCACATAGATTATTGTTAAAAATAACTTTTAAAACATAGGGAAAAAATGATAGCATAAGTGACAATGAAAAATACGACATTTCTGCTATCAAGTGCTACCAAATACGAAGAAACACAAGGCATAAATTATATTTTTGTTAATAATTTTGAAATTAAAATAAATTTCAAATGATTATGTGCATGAACAATTTCGTAATAGTTAACAAAATTAAAATTGACTTTTGGAAAATATAAGAGGAATTTATTTATATTCATAGTTGTAATGAATAATATATTTATTTTAAGATAATTCGTGATGATTGAAATACATGAAAATGATGGTATAAAATATAATTTATTGCCATAAATTACTAAAATAGCATTGCACAATATTACAATTGTTTTAAGTTAATGCGAGTTATTGCCACAAATCAATGTCAAAAAAATTGAACAAAAAAAACAAAAAGAAATAAATAAACGATAAAATAGTGCTAAAAAATTGAAAAAGAGGGAAAGAAAGAAATACGCAATGCATAAAGAGTCGATTGGTTTTAAGTGATATTTCAATCTCTCATAACAATGTTATATTGAAGAAATCATTGAAATGTCCATAGATAAATGCAAAATAAGATAAAGCATTCCACTATATTAGGAAATAGTAAGTAGTAGTAGTATAGTGCCTAGTAGTAATAATGACAACAGCAGTGACAACTACTGCTACCTTGCACTTCCTATAAACTAATGTGAAATAATGATATAGAAATAATTTACAATGTTTTGTAGAGTAATCTGTCCACATTGGCAATGATAATATTTGATAAAAATAGGACTTTATCGAAATTTAGATTATCATTTAGAATGAAAAGCTTTGAAAATATAAATTATTAAAGAAAATGTTCATGAAAAGTTTGAATTAAAAAATGTTAAATTTAAGGTTGCTGTTGTTAGAGCTGCCTGAAATCAAAAAAGAAAAAAAAGAACAGATAATGCTATTTGAATATAATGTTAACAAGCAATAATTTACAATGTTTCTAATTATAAATCCACTCCAAATTTAAACACAGTTTATAAGATTTTACAAAATTAAAGTTTAAACAAACCAGAATTCTGTACAATGAAATATATTCCATATTTAGTAATATTTTATATTGACCATAGTGGATTTTGTGTGAAAATAAGACAGTCCAATTCAATTGCATAATGCATAGCAAAGGAAATGAAACAAATAGTAAATAGAGTTTAAATAAGTGAATATTTAAATAAATCCGACAAAGAATTAGTAGGGGAAGTATTCAGATAGATAAACATTTAAATATATTCATACTTCCATGTCAAGATACCATTCATTTATTTCATAATTAAAATGTGTAAAAAGAAGAGCATCCCAATTCAACTATTTTATATATATTACTTTAATTTTATAAAGAAATATTTGAGATTTGTGGAAAAGTTGTCATTCTTGGATTATTGAAACTTAAAATTTTAATATTTCTACTTTATTTAATGCTTATTTCACTAATTTAATAGTTTTTAATTACTTTATACTTATCTCAGAGCCCAGAATACACGTAGCTCGGGAATGGCTAATGAATGAAGGACGCATTAGTTATTTGATAGCTTTAAACTGAATATTTTATTCATTGGAAATGGACAATGACCAATTGAGTGGAATCAAAAAAATGGTCCCTAAGTATCGACAAACAAACGTAAATTATTCTACGATCGTTTGGCACTTCAAATAAATTGGAAGTGCCAATAAAAATGCCAGTAAATTAGTGCACTATAAGCTGATGAAAAATGAAAAAAATTGGCGTCTTGAATTATCGCCTTCTTTCATTCTGAACAAATACAACGAATCATTTATCGATCGAATTGTGACATAACGAAAAATGAATTTTTCAAGACAACTAACACAATTCTCTCAGTAATTAAATGGAAAAGAACCTATAATGCACTTAACAAAGTCAAAATTGGACTCTTATTCATTTTTCGTTTTTTATTCTTATTCATTTTGAAAATGTCATCATTTGGTGTCCGCACCTCACACAGCTTCTTCACTCTTCATGAAATGATTGCATCTGACTAGGACATCTTCAATCAGTATTGATAAACAAAAAGGGTCCATTCATTTCTACACTAGCATAACCAAAGTTGAATAAATTAGCCTACAAATCCTCGGCTTATTCACCAAAGACCAAATGCATTTTACTTTTACTAGTTAACTACTATTCTTCCAACTTTTCGAATGATGCAAAAAGAGTCTTCCAAAAATTTGTCCTTCGAAATCAGTGGATCATATCCAAAGTGCGCAAGTTTCTATGCCAAAGGAATGAAATAAACTTATTACATATTAGCAAAAATGTGTCTATTATCACAGTTCTTAATTTTTCACTGATAACGATGGTGATTTACAAGAAGCGCAATTGCTTCTATTTCAATTTGATATATGGCGGCACTTGTCCAATGATATCCATTTTTTGTTTTAAGAAGAAAAATTCATCTATAATTTTCTTATCTATAAATGTTTCAGAATGTTTAAGCATAAACTGTGCGAACTATTATACTGTATTAATTTCTATATCTCCGCTACACATAAATGTTAGTAAAAAAGCAAGTTTACTTTGATAAGTATTTGAACACCTATTTCAACTTACGAGTACACGAGTGAATGTTTGATTAAAAAAGAAAATTATTTCACTGAAATAAACTAATTTCTTCTTTGCAGTACTTTTTAAAAAGTCTCCGAATTTTTTCTGTGGATTTAACAAATACTTTAAATTTTTTAATTTTGCTTAAATTTAGAATAGAAATTGCTAGTTTATACAAATTCTTTTGCTGTTCATGGGCAATATTCTCGGGTAAATCGTAATTGCTGAAAGCAGTACGGATTATTGCAGACTAAACATAAAAACACAGAATATGTACTTACAAAGGCCATGTAACTATAAATAGTGATAAAAACATGGGACAGTTACGAATGGCATGATAAAACATGCAAACGTGGAATATAAAACTGTTAACCTTTGAAAAAAAATCACTAAGAAAATTATGAAAAACATTAAATAATATACTACATTTATAATAAACAACGAATGAATGCTTTCAATAATTGTGTTGGCAAAACAATTTTAGAAAGAAAAAAAGTGAAGTGATATTAGTTGAAAATAATGAAATATAGGATGAAGTTACTAGAGCTAAATATAGCTAATATAAGACGACAATCTATTAAAAAAAAAGCTTAATGACTTTCCTACTCTTAAATATTCACATATAAATATTCAGTACTTCGTTCTTTTAATATTGACTTAGACAAAGTTCGATCAATATTGCTGAATTATACGCACTTTTTAAAAAAGCAGAACCCAAATTTAAAATTAAAAGGTAAAATGTTTTTTTTCAGAAATTTTACTTTTATATTTTCATATTTTAATTCTGTTTCCAATTCAACCAAATTTCATCTATTTTATAATAATTAGCAAAAAGGACAAGTAACACTCAATTGAACTCACATTAAAATTATTAGCAAAACATGGGATATTATCTTAATGCTTCATAGTAACTAACTCATCATATATATTTCTCTAGGAAAAAAGGAAGTGACAACAAAACTAAAATTATCTCTTCTTCAATGTTGTGATAAGATTATTGGACAAATGAGGTTTAAAAGAAAAGATTAAACTAATTGACATGAAGACTTTGGACAGCTTTATTTTGAATATAATATTTCAGCTTACTTAACTTACACATAATTTATTGCAAAAAAATAAGGTTTGTTCTAAACGATTGTTCTGTATAACACCATATAATATTTACAAAGATGTAGCAAAAAATTGCACTGTATCCGCGGTATTCCTTTATTGATATCATTTCATTATGTATCGTAAAAAGAATTCGAATATATTTTAATCGTCACTATCAATCAATAATTATCTACTAAATAACAATAATGATTAACAGTTAACTTTAAGCAGTAAAAGGCAAACTTATCACAACTATTATAAAGTTCCTTTAGTATAGAAATGAAAATTTGATAAAAAAAGTAATCATATTATCTCTCAAGACCAGCACCAATCAATACAAAAACATAACATATTATTGGAAATTTTTAAAACAATACTTATTATTATAAAAAAAAGAACGACGTAAAAAAACTATCAATTAATAATTTATAAAATTATTGAAATGATATGGTTCAATTAGAGTAATATACAACACTCACACATAACTCCCTTAGTAATGACTGAACAAGGGAACGAAATACACTTCATTGCTTGCTTCGTTCTCTCACTCTCGCTTTGGGCATCAGACTGATAATTGGCTAGGCTTCCAATGAATCGATTTTTAGGCCTGATGGATTATTCTTTTTGATTTATTATACACTTTTCTTCCAGAAAATTCCCAAAAACTATTCGCAAAAAAGATCATTCAGGATTTAGGAAGATTCAGGATGCTCCCAAAAAAATCATATATTAATGATCATCAAATTTCTGAACAATTTAAACAGCAGTAGGTGCTCTATTCTTCGGAAAAACATCAGCATATGTATCGCTTTCTCTTGTAGATACATCTCGTAGCAAATCATCTGCAACAGATCTTTTCTTTTTCTACATAAATAAACAATGTGTGTGCAGCTTAAAGCTTACACTTAAATTTCAAACCAAAAATTGAAATTCCTTCAAAGTTAACTTGGATTTCACAAATTCCATCCTTTGAGCATGAAATTAATGTATTTTACATGGGTGACTATTAGTAGCTCCCAACATTACAACGTAAATTATAACACAACAAACAATGAAATAAATCTTAACATCTTAAATTATACCATTCCTCATTATAGATAAGACAAAAAATTTTAAATAATAAAGACATAAGGAGAGATGAAATAACGGCAATAAAAATGTTGAAGACAACAAGTAATAAGAACATGACTTCATATAAAATATATTCAAGTCCTGCATTTTATGTTTTTAATATATTGCAAAATACTGAAAGATTAAAAATTTCTAAAATTTCAAAACAATAAATTAGAATGAAATAAAGTGATAATGGAGAAGTAAAACGCACAATGAATGGAAAATAAAACAGAAAGGTAATAAACTTGAAAACTGAAAGAAAAAAGAGAAATCAATTACCCAAGAATTCGCTCAAGCTTTTGCTCATTTTCATGTTGCATACATTTAAACCAAGAGTTGTTGCTCGCTGTTCGCCAACATTATATGAGGTTTTAGCTAAGCCATTTGTCACGATAGATTTGCGTGATCCTTCTCCTGCAAACTATAATATGAACAAATGATAATAATGTTCTCAGTTAATTATTCCTTGTTGTTCGCAAGTAATAATCGTTTAGATTTTAGTTCAGTCAATCCAAAATTTGCAGTTATAGTACTCAAAAAAAAAAACCACCAATGTTTATTCGCTTATGAACTAAAATCAGTAAAATACTGAGCAGAAATAAAACGAGAAAAAGTCGATACTACAGGAATAGTTAACTAGTTGGACTGGTAAGACTGAAAAAGCAGAGCACATAGCTTACGGATAGACGTGTCTATACTTTGATGCAATGTGTTTATTGGAGAAAACAAATCAGACTTCCTGCTACCATCGGTCACTACAGCTCCTTGAGCAATACGTTCACTGACATCCGAATGAATCTGCAAATAAATGTATTAAAATTGGTTCAACTTTTCCAAATTAAAAGAAAAACGTCCTCAGCAGTTTGAATATATATATATATCATTTAACTTCATGGTTCCTCACCCATATAAAAAATTAGTTAATGAAGCGAACTGATGCTCAGAAAAAATCCACGAATTAAGACTTTAAACAGATATATGGTTGAAACTACTGTTAATACAGAATTGTTATGATCTATCACAATCATTATACCTGCTGAAAAGAGCGCTTTTTTCCGTTTCCATGTTCCGAAGTTGTACCAAAAGAAGAGGGAAATTTCATAAAAGGTTCAATGGCATCGAATAGCTGATTTACATTCATTGATTCCGGCAAATGAGTAAGGAAATGGATTATAGCATCAAAATCATTCATATTTTCCAGCTCGGACTCATACAAATGCATGATACCTGCATTACCACCAAAGCATAATTGATTTGTTGTAAATTCGGGAATTTCAAAAAATTTGCGCATTGCTCAGTCTTATCAACTGCTAAATCTCAATTCCTATGACAATAAAATAAAGTTCGCCAAGAGTTAGTAATTAAAATATATAAAGCAATCATGGCAGTACAGCTTTGTATAGCAAGGAAGGAAGAAATGAATTTTAAGTATGTAAAAAAAACTTAATGTCCTATCACAAAATAAATGACAAGCCGAAAAAAAAAGTTAACCGAGTGCTGTATTAAAGATGAATTGTTCACCATCCCGTAATAATACATCCCAAACTCGACAGCAAACATCAAATGGTAATGATTTTGCATAAAGTGTATACACCCTGAAAAAAGTTGGTGATCAATAATCCATCTTCCAAATTAATATTAACTAAAAAAATCTTATCGATAATAAGAAAATTAGACAAATCATTCAAAATATAGCAAAGGTTAAACAATAATTAAGTGTACTAGGAAAAACATGAATTTACCATTCAATTAGGTACATATCAGGACGAACATCCAACACATCGAAGTGATGATGCAGTTTGGGTAATTCCTGCTCAAAGTATCGGTCATACGCAATGAAATAAACTGTCATCTGATGTTGGCGAAGTCCAAAAAATGATAACTTGAAAAAATTTCTTTCAATAAAACGAAATTTTTGGAAGATTTTCATCGTAAACAAACGAACGTCTTTTTAAAACAACCAGTGATTTGTAACCGTCAGCACAGGGACAGATACAATTTAGTCATATAGGACACAGCATAAACATGTCAGACAATCTATATTTTAAAGAACTTAAAGAATTCGTAAGAAACAAAAATACCATCAGGGGTCGATTAAGTAAATTGGCAAATGCCTGAAATGACTGATACGGCTGATGTATTTGGAGGAGAAGCATAGCACCAAGAAAGCACATCGATTGTACGTAACCGATATCTGGGCGATAGCATACATAGGCACTTAACAAATCCAAAAGCAATTCTTCATACGGACCACCCTACAAAATGAATATCATCCATTAAACAATGTATTAATTCTAAAACCTAGCACTGTAGTACTGTACCTTGAAAGTATTTTTGTGTTCATATGATTATGATAGCTGCAACTGCAGCTGTATTATGTACAGATAAGAAAAATCACATAAAGAAATAAGAAAAAACTAAATCCAAAAAGATCAGAGAACTGGATAAATTACTTTTTAATCTTTTCCAGTATGACATATTACATTATTATACTTTGTAAATAAAAAAAAAAAAGAAAAACGAACCTTCTGGAAGAAACCCAAATGTGGGAATGTTCGAGAAACATCGAGATGAATCAGCTCCAGCGTACCTTCACGTCCAATCGGCCTTTTCATGTCCCTGCTTGCTGGAAAAATCAATTACTGAACATCTTTTGCAAATTAATAGGATTTAAAATTGGATTCAAGAACATCTAGAATAACCTTTTGGAAAAGCTGGTAGAATAAAACGCTGGTCAATATCTGCAAAATCAATAACTGAGGAACCATTAGCACCATATTGCTCTGTCATAGTTGTAGCAAAAGCATGATGCCTTGCTCGAGTAACACAAATTTCGTATAATTCTATAAAATTAATGATTCAACAGATGATAGAGTCGAATTAACTAATGACTTAATAGCTGATAGAAATTGGCTAGCAATCCTGATAGCCGCGTTAAAAATAGCACATAAAGAAGTGCAATATCAGAAATGTAACCTGGTGTTAAATTTAACTCATTCCCAATAGCTAGAGACCAGACATGACCACGCACCTTTGGTGGTATGCCACGCCACCACAATTCACGACAATGTTTACTGTCTTTCCTGAAAACAAATGAGACATTTATTTTCTGAAACTAAAATAATGTAACCAAGAATTCCCAGAACTTTAAACATTAGTGCATTGGAACAAACTAATAAACTAATTAAGCAGAACAAAACGACATGAACACAACTAAAGTCTTTTTTTTTGTTTTGTTTGTTTATACAAGGCAATTGAAGAATAAGCCATATTTTTGGTAAACTGAATATTTCATATATATATGAAGATAATGTCCAACTGTCATTTATTCAAATCAATAGGTTTTCCCAGTTCGAATAAAAAAGGGGATGAATTATCATTTTCCGTCAAAAAAAAAAATTCATATTTAAATCTTAAGCACCGAGATTTAGGATTTAAGTCATAGCAAGTGAATTATCATTTATTATATTTGAATCATTTTTAATGACTTGAATTTTATTCATGTCTGAGCAAATGGCATGGATCTAAAACAAGCAATCTCAAAAAAGAACTCAAAGTTCTAAAGTAAATCCAAAATACACCTTCAAAGGAATAAATGAGGTTTCCCAATACCAAGGCTTACTTTGCGTAAAGCATTCAAAAAAGAAAAAAAACATACATATTTTCCCAATTAGGCAAAATGCGGCTGCACCACACCTCAGCCGCCGCAGCAGCTTTATCTTCTTCTTTTCGCTTCATTTCTAATAACTGTTGTCGTTGACGTGAACGTCTAGCTTCCTGACGTTTAGTAGCTTCGATAAGTGCCAGATACTGCGCTTCATGACGCCGTTGTTCTGCTATTGATTTCGCTGGCAGAGTACTACAATAAGAGTGAAATTCGGAATATAATTTGTCCCAACATATTGATAAGTTTATATATTTCGGATATTAATTTTTTCCAGACATAGCATTTTTAATTCGCAAGAAACTCACTCAGGCCAGAGACTACGATGAACAATTTGGCATCTGACAATTGATCTCTGCTTAAAAACATACATATATTTATGCAGCCATTTATTAATGACTCCTCAACTGGATGTCCAATTTTCATGTAAATTAGAAATTTTCATGTAAATTAGAAAAACAAACTCAATAAAAACAATCAGTGAAGTAATTTAAGTCAATATCTAATAGAACCTTGGCCTATCTTCCAGAATCAAACCGGTGGTAGAACAGCATATATCATCAGTTGCAGAACTGCAGGACGCACCAGTTGTAAAAATTGCATGATTTCCCCCAATATTTTTCCATTTCTTACTTCCAAAAATTCGCCAAGAACTTGTACGCTGATGCTCGTGTTGTTTACTACGAGGAAACAATTTTCTAAAAATGTTAATCTGAAGACAACAAAAGACCATAACTCAAATCAAATGAATTCAAATGTGGCTCATAATTATAATATACAATTTGCCAAAAAAAAAAAAATATAATACATACATGTAGATTAAATCTGCATTGTAATTTCCACCTATTCTCAAGGTTCTTTTAATGCGCCCTTCATAATCAATCCATATGTATAAAGGACAGACCTTGTGAAGGTATTAGACAATAGTGACAACGCATTTCGCCCACCCTTGTTACCTCGCTTCTGCATACTATTGTCAACCATACTATCCACATTACCGAAACTAGTACTGTCATCACTGTTTCTGTCTTCATTATCAACATTATTATCATCATTATCATGTATAATTCCGGATAATAATTCATTACGAAGGTCTAGTGAACTCCGTTTCGAACTCAAAGATCCACCTGTAAATCACTTAAGAAGTTTGCCAAGTTATGCTGAAAAATGTTTATCACAGAATTTGTACTATCAACATCAGTATCTCTGCAATTCAAATCTCTTTCACTGAAAGTAGTGTAATAAGATTTAAATACAAATTCCGAACTAAGTCCTTATTATTTCAGTCAATCCACTCGCTTATATGAAGAAATTATTACAGTTCAGTTTCTAGCATTATATCATCAGAGATTCATTCATTCGATAAATTCATAGCCATTTGAATCTACTTTAACACTACCTAACTTTTACTGACACCACATGAAAGTAAAGCTAAGTGAAAATGGAATTTTTAATACTGTAAATGAAGATCTAAAACTTGCAATTTCTTAAAATACGAAAGCTTTGGAATTTAAAATACATAAAAAAATTTAACCATATAAATCAAAGATAACACTATGCATACTATTCGATGATATATTTACCGACTTCAGAAGCATGAGCTGTTCCAGTTCTAGCAACAGTTGAAGTAACAGTTGTCATAGCACCAGTAGTAGTTGCAACAGTCATTGAGCTAGTAAGTGAGGAATTATCAGATCCTTCTACATCATAATCATTTTCGAAAGAAATTGAGCATGATAAATGACTGGAGTGGAGAAATGATGACGGTGACTTCCTCATTTTTGATGACACCTGTGATTGCAATCTATAAGCAATTAATGAAAATAAGTGATTGCATGAAATTTCCACAGAAATACTGAATAATAATCATACTTATTTCAGACATGAATAAAAAGCATAAAAAACTTAGAATTAAACATTTCAAAATTGAATTTCATTTAAGGGCTAAATAGTACAGAATGATGAGAAAAGTAAGTCAATAAGTGTAAGGAAACCATAGAATGATACTGAAAAAAAGACTCGTTGCCTTTGGATTCATATTAAATAACCTGTTTGAAAGATAGAGAATGGGAGTAGCGCAACAAGACTGGATATTTTTTTTCGATCTCTGTTATTGTAAACAAAATATGAAGGAAGAAATTTGCATTTCTATAGTTGCTTTCAATAATGGTCAAATAATTATTAATAATAAAATTCAATAATAGTAATAATAATTAATAAATAATAATAATAAATGGGGATAAATGGGCATAAAACTTGACCGATAACAATGAAAACAAGTTTGCTGAGATGAAAATATGGCAAGCGAAATAATCACTTCAGGAAAGTATCATGCGTAGTTAAGGACTTCTTATTTATCCAATGGATATTGTGATGGAAATTTAAGCGTCGAGGATGATGTGTTAATTGGATCTGTGCCGATTCATAGGAGGAACGGCGATGATGACCTCGTTTGAACGATAACTTTTCATTCTTGTCGTTATTTCCAGCTGAAAAAAAAAAAGAGAAAAAGAAGTGGAAGAAAAAGGAAAAAGAAGAAATCTTGAAATAATTGAGCAGAAACTTTGAAATAACAATTAGCGCATCAATTAGTTTATTAATTTTCAACTTTTCGAGCTCGCTATAAGCTTTGAATAGAGAAATTTTGATATTTGATTGGAAATTTTAGAGTTTTACGTTACCAAATGTTAAAACTGACAGTTCTGAGAATTAAAATAAGATAATCTATAATTTACTCTCATCAGTGATTAAATTTTTTTTTAAATGCATTTATTCAAGCACTTAATTCCGGTATTTAGTTACGTAAATTGCATCGAATTATATATGATAAAAGTGCAGTTTAGCAGTTAAAACAAGCAATCATTCGCAAGTGCAATGAATGAGAGAAGATGAAATTGTGACGATACGATTAGAAATAAAAAAGGAATGCACTGAATTAAATATATATTATTATAGAAAAATTTACTACACTATTTTTATATATTTTCTAATTCTTTTTGATTTCTTATTGTCGGTTAACCCATTTCAGTTCAAAACATGTATGAAATCAAGTAATAAAAAAAAAACGATTAAAAGGTAAAAAAATTATAACTATTTCTGCTTCCAAATGAAATTTTGAAATGACTGACAGATAAACCGGAGAAGTATTAGAGCAAAACATTTCGTCGAGAAATTCTCAAAACTACTGGAGTTAGTGCTATTTTAACATTTGCCTTACATACCGCTATTTTCTTCTATTTCAATTCTGCATACAATTTTTTGTCAAATATTTATAACTCAACTGAAAAAAACAAGAAAAAAAACGAAAAGAAAACATCGCTAATGAAACATAAAGAGGGACACATATCGTCGAAAAAACGTCAATAGAATGCAAACAACCACCATAGGCTGAACGAAATTGAACAAAAAAGAAACAAACAACAAAACTAGAGCTAAAATTAAAAATTAAAATTACACAGTAGAAGAGAAAACAAACGTAGAATAAAAATTTCAACTATGTAATGATGGGAATGATATTTAATAATAAAAGCAAATAGAACAAACAAATAAAGTTGATAAGAGACTACAAACAAAAAACAAAAAAATGGAAAAGCAAATGAAAAACAAAAAACAAAAAAAAAAAAAAAAAAAAAAAGCTGAGATCGTCTGGTAACAAAAATGATATTCTAGAAATGAAATGAGTACGAAAATAAGTGAAGTCAAGTGACAAAAAAAAGTAATGTTTAGTATTAAATATAGAAGAAATAAACAAACTAATTAAAATTAAAACAAAAAACAAATGAAAATAAAAAAAAAATTTGTTCTGACGATAAAGATTTCTTTGCACAAAAAAATTTTATCCGTCTTAATATTATCTTAAAAGAGAATGCAAATAAAAATTCAATTAAATTAAAAAAGAGAAAGATCTTAACCAGATTACCTAATTAGAAAATTTAACTACTAAAAGAAATAAAAAAGAAATTACCACTGACAGTAACTTGTTGCAAATTCTTATCATCGACATTATATACCAAAGGTAAATTTTCCAGTACTGTTTGTAATGAACCCGGTATTGTTAATACTTCAGCTGTTTCTAATCTTCCTTCTTTTTCATTCAGCTTCTTTTGTTCAAATCGTTGGCGTTTTTGTTTTTGCTTCTCAGATGATTGTGATGCCAGTGCTTGATAAATAAATTAACATGTAATGCATTTCAAATTAACCTTCAGTACTTCCGATAATATATTTCAGTTCACTTTGAAATTAATAACAGTTGATTCATGAATGCGTAATGACTTCATTAACAACATCATCATTCCCTTCTAACAAAGAAATTGAAATTTAATTCTTATAATAATTCACACAGTCAAAACGAGGATACAATTTAAAAGTACTGTTTCGCAAGCAAGAAACTATCAGTTAAGTTATATTAATTTTTCTTTTCTTGAATTCGTAAATTTTTATTTGGTTTCTGAACAACCTTACATGTTATATTGTTTAAATAACACAATGCTCCTTGATCTTTTATGTCAATTACGGTAATTCAACATTGTAAGAACACAAGCTATAAGGTTAAAAGGATGAAGAATTTATTATATGGAATGCGATAAAGTAATGAGAAATGTGTTTAGAGTAAAAACGGAAGAAGAAATAAAATCAGTAAACAAATTAAACAATTACTTGAACAGATAAATTTAGTAAATAAACAAAAAACAAAGTGCTTACACTCGAATCAGTGAACACATAAACACTAAAGCAAATAAGCTTTTAAAAAAAGAGAACGAAAGATAGGAATGTATGTATGCAAAAAAGTGCTGTAAAGCAACACTCAACTTTTCTCCAATGCTATGCTTCTCCACCCACGCACTTCTACTAGCACATAAAAGAAGGCCGAACATCATCTCATCGTATCCACGATGCAAATTGTTCGTCTCACTCTTTTAATCTTTTTATAGATAACGGAATATTGATTGTTATTTGAACGCTTGAATATCCACATATGTAAATTTCGGTATTTGATAAACTTCGTTTATACGAAAATCAAAACAGTCATAAACAATTGAGAATTTTGAGAATATGACAATTGGGAGGCGAATGAGTTATAAGAAATAAGTCAAAAAGATATTATGACTTTAAATTAGCTAAATTAAGTTTCATTCGATCGAATTATTATTGTCTAATTAATGTTATATGAATTTTTTTTCAGGAAAAATATTATATCGAATTGTATGACGGAATGCATGACACTGAATAATGCATCACAATATTGCGATTAATTTTCATTTTCGATATATGAATTCATACGACATATGTTTCTACTTTATAAATACAAATCTGTTAATTTGTTATTGTAAAAGCAATTATTGTTAGTCCTGTAAAATAGTGCTGCAAATTTCAAACTTTCTATACTATTGCGGCTACTATTTAATGCCATAACTGGTTTACCACTATTATTAAAAAGTTTCGAAAAACCAAAATCTAGTATAATTTTTGTTGATGATTGCACTTTTATCTTTTATTCTTATTCTGTTTCACCCTTTCTTTTTTCCTCAGGCTTTCTACCAGTTTTTGTCGTTTTTTCAAATTCTAATTGCAAGCATGTAATATTTCTTACCATTAACCTTTTGTTATTTATAACTTCCGGTTCTATATTTCTCCCTATCTTTTCCTAACATTTTTATTATTTATTGATTAGATAAATCGATTAAACTACTAGCGCTAATAATTTAAGTGTCAATATGACATTTTCTTCTAACCTTCAGTATATACCAAAGAATCTGCCATATGTTATCACAGTAAGTAACCGATGAAATAATGAATAAAACAACGAATTATTTTAACAATTTTAGCATTAAATTTATGATTATTTTTTCAACATTACCCAATTTAAAATTTGTTCGGAATTGATCCATGTCATCTTAGTATCGTTGGTTATTATACAGCAGAGTCAATCACATCGTTTCCATATATCGAATACATTGAATATTACATGTCATATTTGACTCGATCATATCATTTCTATCATCAAAAGTTTGGAAAATTAATTAAATTTAATTTGTGTTGAAATGCTTACACAACTACCATCGCATTATCTTATTGTAATGATAACATCTAAAGTGAGAAGCCTAGCAAATTAATTAATTTAATTGATCTTGTTAAAAATACTGCAGTCGAATCGTTTGTTTTTTGTTTTTTTTTTTTTTTTTTTATTTGAAATGATATGACTGAGTATTGTAATAGCATGAAAGCTACATTTCTTGGTGAAGTTTATCAAATCTAATTAATTAGATCCATCTTGCTACAATGGTTCAATCATGTGTTTGATGTCAAAATAGCATGGTTTCTTTGTATGTTGTCAAAATTAGTTAAATTTTTGTTAAAATGCTTACTTAACTGCCATCTAATTATCTTATTGTTAATAAATAAAAACTTATGATATTTTTTTTCCCACACAAATATATTGTAATTGATATATGGAATGCTCCAATCATATGGCTTCCATTTGATGCCAAAATATGTAAATAATATATCTAGCGAATGTTAAAAATTTATCACAGCATAAATTTTGCAAATTTCTTAATTTATTGCTATAATAAAATATCTGATTACAAATATTTGAGATATATTTATGGAATAACGTAAATACTTTACAGCTAATTTAAATTCCTTAACATTTATCGTTATCGTTCTCATTTATTTGCAATAATTTTTTGTTACTTCTTTCTCGCAAGCGATTCAACTCCTATAATTTAAATTTGTGATATTTAAATTCGTGCATTCGAATTTCTACTGCAAAATTTCTGTCAATTGTGTCATTTAAACTCATTTTCAGTAATAAACTATGTGCACTGTCTACATAATGGTTGAAAAAGCTTAGCAAATAATAATATATTTCGGCAAGGTTTGTTAACATCTTTTAACACAGTTTTAATTCGATGCAATCTGACGTTTATCAACAAATTATTCCTCAATAATATCATGGTAAATCATTTTCATACACTCAAATGCATTTAATTGATGATATTTTAATTAGTTTTGGATTTTAATAAACTCTTTTCGAAAAAAATTTATTTACTGGAGTGCAATTTTTCAAAAACATATATTGATTTATTTATTGAAAGTTTCAAATAATTAATCCTGCATCTAAATTTACCTCACTTTAATCTTGACAATATAAACTTCGTTTAGTTAAAAAAATCTTATCTTAATCATTTCTTTTTTTTTTCCGGTTACTTTTGTTGTATAAACGAAAATCATTAAACTTCACTAACTAAAATATCCTGTTGATGTTATCTTGTTTAAAAAAAATGAAGAAAAAAAAGAATTGATTTAGTTCATTTCCTATTCCTTATTAAATTTTGTTCCATTATCTTTTCATTTTTCACTTTGTTTAAGTTTCAATTATAGTTCTTTTTTTCCTTCCACTAGAAAGAATTAAATGTGATATATGTTAATAAATTTGAAAATGATATAAATCAATGAAACCATTGCTATCATAGGCAATGCTCCCTTTTTTTTGTTTTGGGACACTAAATTAAATGATAGAATTTAATGATAGTAAATTTTTGTGGTCCATTATATCTTTCATTGAACTAAATTTTTTACAATTAATGATAGAGGTTTAAGGTCACTTTAAGGCTTGTATATGCATTTGTATATATGCTTGTGCATAGGGTCTGCCTGTGTACATGTGTGTATGTTTGTGCATCATTCTGCGCAAATGTTTCATGAATTTGAAAAATGTCAATCTCCAGCCGATTCCTACTCCTGTAATTTCTGTTTGACTATCATTATGATATCACGAGATAAGATTAATAATTCTTTTAACATGATTTCCAGTAATGTTAAAATTTTCTTAGAAAAGAAGAAAAATATATATATATAAATAATTTTTGAACCAATTCAAAAATTTTCAAAAAATTTAGATTTAAAAATTTGTAAATTTTTAAAAAAATAAGGAAAAAAATATAAGCATAATATTTCACTAAATATATTGTAATAATACTATTACAGCTTTGCTATTTATGATAAATGATACAGAAGTAATGAAGCTAGCAATACTAGTTTATTCTGAAAAAAGTGAAGAAGTGCAGAAATAATTGAAGGAGAAAAAGTGAAGAGAGAGAGAAAGAGAAAGGGAGAAATGAATTGTTCATTTAAAATAATGGATGCAAAATATAGGGTAGTGTTGAAATTTTGTGATTTTGAAAAAATGCCTATGAATGATGATGATGATGATCATAATGATGACAAAGATGATAAATGATGATTGATGATAACGACACATACTTGATTACCTGTCACATGACAATTTATGTTATATGCATCTAGATTTAAAAATTTATAAGTCAAATTTGGATCAATTCTTTAAAAATAATTAGGTTACATAAATGAGAAATTCGTCCTAAGCTGCAACAAAAATAAAATAAAATAAATAAATTAAATAAAAAATAAAAATAAATAAATAAATAAAAAGAAAAATAATGTTTTGTTTATAATGCTATCAAAAAATGTAAGCAATAAAAGATTTTCCAAAAATATTTTCTTAAAAATTTTAAACATAAAATGAAACAGAAAGGGGATAGGGAAAGAGAAAAAAGGTAAGGAGGGGAAGAGAGAGAGGAAGAAGGAAGAGAAAAAAAGGTGTGGAAGTAATAAAATTTATTCCATGAATTTTAAACTTTTATATGTTGCTGTGGTCGATCAGAAATTTTGCAAATGGATGATCGATTAGTGTTAAAATTTTCAGTGTTAACTATGTCTTTCAAAGAGAAGCGGCAAAAAAAGAGAGAAAAGGAAAAAAAAAACCAAATCACTTCCTTTCTTCTCTTCATCGTCTTTTTTTTATTTTCAGAATTACTAAACGTATGTTTAAAAAAAGAAAAAGTAAAAAGAAGAAAGTAAAAAAGAGTGAGGAAGAGAGAGAGAATTATATGAGAAAAAAAGCTAAAAAAAAGAAAAAAAGAAAAAGGGGAAAGAAAGAAGTAGGATGAGGAGAAAAAGGAATAGAAGGAGGAGAAGGAGTGGAAAGAAGAGGAGGAAGATGAAGTAAAGGTGAATCATTTAATGGATGAATCTAATTGAATAGATAGATAAAAATGTTGTAAGCACTCATTTCAGGTTACACATTCTTTCACGTTTTTAGCGCTTAATCATTCCATTCTTACGTCATGCTATATGTCAATGAATTTAACGCTTTTTTCCTTTCTTTTTTCTTTTTTGTTAAATACTACCAAAATTTATTCCGTATGTTTATTTGGTGCAGTTAACGGAATATTCTTTTGGTCTGTGCATATATACGTTACGTTTGTGTGTGTAGTTGTGTGTCTGTTCTTAAATGCACTTCTTAGCGAAGTTTTGAATTACATTATACATCAACAAGAATTCTCGTCGCTATTCTCTCTAAAAATTTTTAAACGAATTACAACTTTTCATTTGAGAGATTTCGTTTTCAATTATTCGTTTACTGATTACAATATAACAATTTTCTCTGCTTCGAATTAGTCATAGTATTCTTTCAAATGTAATTCCTAGTAATTAATTATATGATAATTCGCTTATCTTTTATAGTACATGTTTATTCCTATAATAATAACAATAATAATAATAATAATAATAATAATAATAATAATAATAATAATAGTGATAATAATCAATAATATCACATTATTATTACTAATTATTATTATCGTCATCATCATTGTTGATGAAGTACATGCTTTATCATATTTTTATATGCACATGCACATGCTTGAAATATTTTAAATTTTTTAAATATTTTTTCTAGAAATATCAAAATAAAATTTGAAATATGGAAAAAATGATACTAGTTTAATAAGTATTTTTTGTGTAATTGGAGAGGATTTAAATTTCGTAATCGATATATATATGCATTAAAAAGATGAAATTTATTATTAGTTTAACGAGGATCTCTATTGCACATAAGGAGGATTTAAATTTATTGACATTGTAAGATGTTTAAAGTAAAATTTTAATAAATGATTTAGATAGCATGTTTGCTCGTAGTGATCATAATGCAAGTTTTGATTATAAAGCTTGTTGAAATAATGAACAATATGCAATATTCTGACGAAATTAACTAAATGAGAACTAAGACAGTTATTCATCATGTAACTAAAATAATACAATCGTTTCATTTGTTTCAGTTTGTTGTTTACTATTTTATTGTTATCTTTATGACTTGTCACTATTATTGTTTAATTAATTTATCAATACATACTCCCAAGTCGTTGACCAATTTTTATAATTTGCAAAATTTGCAATGAATGAAAACACGAAGAACCAATCGTAAACTGATATATGAAAAAAAGCGATACGTATTATGATTAACATAATAACATAATTGTTAGCTTTTATTAGTATTATCTCTTAAGTTGGGGCAATAATGGCGGCAATCGTAATAATAGTAATCGTAATCATAATAATAGCAGTAGTAGTAACGGAAGAATAAATTGTAGTTTAAAGTATATTTGGTATTCGGACACAATTATATTCATGCTTATTATCAAAAAATGAATTGTTTCAGGAAGATTAATTGAAGTGAAATCACAAAAAATAGAAAAAAAAAAATCATGGATGGATTAACATGGTTAATTATGTCTTGGCTTATCGTGGGCATATTGTGCTATTTTATGCTTGCTAAAGTAGGTACGTCTCAGACGACAGTAACTACTGGGATAAATGATACTACAATCAAGTCCCGTGCTACTTCCAGGTAAGAAAAATCAACAACGAGATTACTGTTATTATTAATATTATTTTTATTTGAAATACATATATGATAATATTTCTCATACTTGATTTAGGGCAAAAATAATACTTGACTTAAATATTACTTGTTTACATTGTAGGTGCTAATTTTCGATCTATCCATCATGTCATATTTATTATCATTTGATATTACATTTAGTAGTGAAACAATAATAATTAAATGGATTAACTTTTGGACACAATTGAATTATAAATTTTATAATTTTTTCAAAATTTGCAGCAAATGGATTAATGATCAGTATTCAATAGATTGGTTAAATGATATTATCGGTTGGTTATTCAATAATATGCACCGTGTACCGGATACATTGCAAGCTTGGATAATAGCTATGAACGAAGCTGCTAAAAAAATTTCTATACCTGTAATAAATAAGTTTAATTCTTCTTTTCTTTTAATTATTATACTTCGATTATTATTGCTACTTCCTACTATCATGACAATATACCAATCTTAAATATTTATATAAACTAGTAGTAGTCAACAAAATATAGTATTCATAATTATTAATTATAGTATGTGATTTATAATTTCAGGGAAAATTTGAAGTATTATTTGAAGGTTTCAGTGATAATAGGAATGTTACAAGAGCGCCACGTGTCACTGATATTCGCTTACAACAGTCACCGAATGATCATCTTGTAGGTCCAGTTAGTAATTGTATATAATTAGTTATTTATTAATTATGTTTATCACATATAATTTATATTACAGATTATGAAAGGTAAAATTAGTATACCGGAAGTAAACCTCAAACTGATGAGTTCGCAACGAACGGGCGATCGATTATTAGTTACCAGTTTTGATGCAAAGATTATCGACTTGCACGGCGAGGTTGGTGATAAATTTTTCCACTTTATTCTTAAAAAAGTGAATTAAATGAATAAATAAATAAATCTTGTGATATTTAAACACGTTTTAACATTGCATATTTCCAAAATTCATTTCAGATAGAATTACACTTGGCATGCATTGCGAATCAAATTTACATGATGGCATGCTTTTGTGGAAGACCTGAATTAGACATAGAACTGGTAAATAGGGATCCTGCACCGGTACTTTTTTTTATTCGTGTATTTTTATAGTATTCAGGAATAACTATATGTGTTTTTTTTATTTTCGGTATGTTTTGTTTACCTAATATTACAGACCGGAACGGTTTCGAATACGATGGTGGATGAAATGATCCGTAAATGTCTTCTTTCTGCTGTTACTAATGTATCATTAACGGAACCCGGTGGACAGTGCGGTAGAATGGCAACCAATAATGTATTCGCAATAATTCCGCGTGCTATGACAACAAATATTGGGGGGTCAGAGACATTTGATAGAACCGATAATTTGGCTACAGTACCAACACATGAAATGATGAAACGAATTAATCAATCCACAGTGGTATATGTTTAAATAGTTCAATCAATATAAAATATTGTATATGATATTACACAAGTAGTTCCAAATAAAATCAATATTATATTATGCAGTCATCTTAAATGTAATCCTGAATATAATCACTATAAATTATTATGGAAAATTTGGGACGTAATTCCATATTTAATAATTTGTTAAATAAATGAAACTATTATTTTCTCTAATTATTTGTTTAACTACTATATTCTCAAATTTTCTAGAAATTAAAAAACAAAAAAAGAATAAAAATTTTCTAGAAATTAAAAAACAAAAAAAGAAACAAACTTTAAATACTCAGACATCACATAGGCGGTAAATTACTGCCACACAATTTGAGTAAGTAATATACAAAAAACTTTCGTAGCGTTAAATTTTATAATTTTAAATACTTTTCCGTTAATGTAATATTTTATAATTTTGAATTAACTTTTACACTATTTTTTTAATTACCGTTAACAAATCATACGACTAAGCCACAAACAGTATCAAATAAAATGCGTGTCAATGTTATTCGAGCACAACGACTCGGCGGTGATCGCAGTAAGTTTTTTTCATTTATTGCATTAAGATAAAGCCGAATTTATTCTAATTCGATTATTATTCCTATTTTAGATAGAGTTTAATCTATTAAAAACAAAATAATTGATATTTCAAGAAAAAAGTGCTTGAAAGTATATATATATATAAATTAATCAGCAAAGTTATTTAAAATTTTTTTAAATATTGCTAAAAAACCTTTTTTAATTTTTAAGTTAGTGAAAAAGTTTTTAAGGAAAAAAACTCGTTTTTGTTCAAATAATACTCTTATTCTTTTTTTGTTGTTTAATTTTAACTTTTCTTAGCATTTTGACAAAAAAGTGATCTTTAATGATTAAAAAAATGAATTTGTTTCTATAATATGCAAATAATTAATAGGGCATTTTTTTAAAGCAATAAATCAATCATATGTTGTGTTGGAAATGGATGAACCAGCGCAAAAATTTCAAACAAAATATGGACTTAATATTAGCCCATATTGGGAAGAATCATTCGATTTGTATGAGTTACACTTTGTTTTCATCTCAATCAATCTGTTTGCTTTTCTAGAAAAAATTTAGAAAAAAAAATGATACCATTTTCTATCTAATCAATCAGAGTATTTATTTTTCTATTTAATTTCATCTATCAAAAATATTCGATCTAAATTTAAATAATCAAAAAAAAGAGGAAAACTAATATTTTTCAGTGATTTGACACCAGCATCCGAGGAGATTCTATTTGAAATATACGAGGGTAGTAGCAGCGATACTTCTTTTAATGCTCCAACTGAGTATGTTGGATATTCTGGACAAAAAGAGCATGAAGATCATCGATTCTTAGGGCTTGCAATTGTTAGCTTGGATGAAGTGCGACATTCTAGCGCTAATATTTTGCATACATTAAAACTGCAAGGGCGACCGTACAGAAATGACATAATTACGGGTAATTTAACCGTACAGGTAAAATTAGTTATCGCATACTTCGTGTTAATTAAAACAAATAATTATATATAAATCAAATTGATTTATTAATCAATTATTTTTGCTATTATGCATTACTGTTGTCTTTTCATTAATTATCATATAATTTAACTCACTTTGTTAGAATAGTGTTTTTCATTACAGTTCGATTTCTACTATGATCCAATGGGAAATTCGATAGGTAAAAATTTGGATCAAACTATCGTTCGAAATAGTGCTAATCAATTTCGTGAAATAGTAAACAGCAGTACGACAAGGCCAGTATATGATCCACGCGGTGATTTTTTTTAATTATATATGCTTCTATTTTTTTTCCTAAAGAAATTTGTTTTCTTATTAATATTTATTGTAAAAATCATTAGGATAATTAGTTAATTAAATAATTAAAAATGACAATTATTATGGTAGTTAAAGCATTACGGATGATATTAGAATAATCACTGCTTTTGGATAATATTTTTGTTGATTAATAAAATTTTCTGAAGTGTGTCAGAAAAAAATGAAGTAGAAAACAAGTATTTTAATTTAACAGATAGTTTTGGAGCATATGATAATCATGATATGACAACAACGAATACAACAACTGTCACCGTGAAAAATGTCTCACAGGTAACAATGCAACACCTTACTGTTCAAATAATTAAAAAAATATAGGCATCAACCTAGAAAAGATGTTTGAATAATAAGTATTCCATTATTTGTCACTATTTTGTAATGTTCAATATCTAAACTAATTAATATTTATGTCATTTAGATTTAACCAGTTTATAATATTGAAACTTATTCAAATAATCGAATAAGATGTGGCTGACGTTCTGGAAAGGATAATTAAAGTGAACAGAGAGAGTCGAGAGAGGAGATTAAATAATTAAGTTTTTTTTAAAGCAATCATTAAACGACAAGAGTCAACCTCTAGTGTCAGGAATTACGACAGTACAACAAACATCAACAACACCTATGGTATGTTTACAACACCAATAAAAACAATTTCCAGAAGAAAAATTCAAGAAATTCTGCTAAAATAAGTGTGTAATATAATGTTGAAGTTTATTTCTCAGAGTATATAAGATAAAAGGAATTAAAAATTCGAATTTTTAAATTAAGAAGTCGAAAGGTTTGATATGAGATAAATGAGATACATTAAGTCGAGAAAATTCTTAAAAGGACAAAATGATAAAAGATGAATCACTGTGATTCGTTCATCAAATTATTTGTGGGATTACTCAACTTTCTGGATTTTCACATAGCTTTTTCTGTAGGCTTATGATTCATTGTATGAGCAACGAATCGATGTTAGTGATATGCAACAACAACAACACTCATACGATATCACGGTTCAACAACAATCATCTGGATTGAACGAACGGCAAGGTTATCAACAGGTAAGACTGTCAACAGTGTCATTTGATGCTTCATACTATGTTTCAAGTATAGCATATAATTTTATTTTACCAAAATTTTAGAAAGAATTTTTAGGCTAGTAATGCAACAACCGTTGGAATGCAGGAACATGTGATACCTGGTAGTAGCACTACTAGCATTCAACATTTTATCACTGGAACTAAAGATCGTCATATTATTGACACTGATAACTATCCTTATTACAGGTAAACATTTTGAACTGGCAATTCAGTAGTGATAATCAAGGTTGCAATATTGAAAAGGATCTTGTATAGATTCCAATTCCAAACTATCACATTCAAATCAAGCATTTAATTAATGAATAGTTTTGCAGATATGATGAACAAGAAGCAGAAGTACTGATAAAGACTGAAGCAGAAGAAGTGTCTCAAACTAAAGAAATTAATGAAATGAGACAATCTAGAGGTAACCGTATCAAATTATTTATTATTACTATTATTATTAATTATTGTTTTTATTTGTTAATTATTAGTTACTAGATAGTACTTACTAGGCATTAGTTATTAATTTTTAATTACTATTTATTTATTATTTGTTACTATTATTGTTATTACTTATTACTATTATTATTGCTATTAATTATTACTAGATTAATTATTATAAACTGTTTTAAATACTATCAACTGCTATGGATGGACAAAATTCTGAGATCTCTTGTTATCACTTTGTTTTATAATAAATAGTGCAGTTCTAATTTATTATTGTAATAATGGAGAAAATACTTGCATTGTATTTGTAATTCTATTATAATAGCTGTAATTTGTATAATTAAAAGCATGGTAATAATTCGCATAATAATTTTAATAAATTTTATTAATAATTTTCTAGAATTGACTTGATGAGATAATCTTTTTTCAATAAGAAATGGTAAAACTTTTCCGTCAAATAATTAGTATTCGAAACAAATTGATATCAAAATTTATTATTAAAGAATTTCTAATATTGTCTTAAAATGTTCAGACCAAGTAAAAACGCGCAGTGAAGAGAAGACAGTTCGAAAACGTGATCGTTCATTCTTTAACGAATTACGTGAGCGTCTAAGTGGCCGTCGACGTTCTAAACGACGCGCTAAAAGTTGTGAACCTGGAGGCGGTGATATGGAAGAAACTGTATCATTACCACCTTCTCGAGATATATCAAGGACACGATTTTCAGGTAAATTTTCATGAAAAATTAACTTCGGAACGGTTTAAAAAAATGTCGTGATATTACTTTTTTTTAAATTAAATATTTATCACTTTAAAATTTGGCATAATTTCAATAAACTATGACACAAACCTATAATAAACTTGAAATGTTTCAAATAATTCCAAATGAGTTGTAGAAAAGTCAGGCAGTCGACATGATTTGGGATCATCTTGTGATAAATCGGAACATTCTATCAAAAGCCTTTATCAGCATAGTACTTTACTGCTTGAAACGCATGAAAATGGTCAAAAACGGTTGTTTATATTTTATCATTTAAGATATCAAATTTATTTTGTTGTAAAAAAAAGTTGTAAAAACAGGTTGGGAGCTATAGACAATATAAGTTGTATCAGTTAATTAAAAAATTATTATAAATTTAGATATTATCTGATACCACATGCAGTATTAGACGAGCCAGGAGCGACAAAACTTCTAAGGCAAGGCAAAAAATTACATGTTCACAACGGTCATACATTTGTTGCCGTAAAAAGTCGAAGGTCGGTATCTGATGAGTGGTAATAGTAATAACTTCCGTATTTTCTCTCTTTTCTTTTTCCGTTCTCAGTTTATATGCTTTAACATTATGTTATAGTGGTACGACTTGCAATGTATGCCATCAACGAATTGGACGAAGCAATTTTACCAAACAAGCTTATCAGTGTCGAGGTGAAAGATAGTTTTATATTTACACATTAAAGATTTGATGAGGAAAGATGAGAAAAACCACAGTAATTGATTCAATTAAGTTAGAACATTTGATGGAAAAATTATTTTGTTCATTAATTTAATTAAGTTAAAAAATCCATTTCACTTTTTTGTTAGGAAAAGAAAAAATTTTATCAGTTTAAATTATTTCTTTACAAATATTTTTTCACTTTCGATTGTTCTGCTCATAACGATAACAAAAGCAAAAAAAAAAATGACACTTGTAAATTGCCTAATTATTTTTTTTTTACAAATGACAAGCTTTTGATCTTAATATTACGACTTTTATTTATCATCAAAATTTGTTAATAAAATATCGGAAATATTTTATACATTTGTTTTAATTTTTGATTTTGTTCAACTCAGCTTTCAGTTAACTTAATTAAAACCAAATTTTTAACACTAATTTTGTTGTATTCAATTTCACCTCAAAAAATTTTGACCAAATAATCTCTAACTTTGTTCAGTTAACTATTCTACTCTTTATCTTTATAGATTGTTATACTGTATGCCATAAGCCATGCCATTATAAAACGGAATCTTATTGCACAACAAGTAATGTCGACAAATTGAATATGTAAAATTTTTCATTATGTATTCCAATTTGTACTGTATTTACAGATGAGCTCGACAATCTGATCTATGAAATGAATCTAAACACCAAATATCATCTAAGCTCATTCTGAGAAACTATAAAGCTTATTCTGGAAAATTCATGATTATAATTACCACATATAATAATTGAACAGTTACTTTTAAATGACTACTGTAACACAAAAAAGATCTTTTTTCTTCTTTTTTTTTCTGGGATCATATGTAGCAAAGTATATTTCAGAACGAAAGATATTGATTGGGAATATCTTTTAACAAACAATCAAATCGATGAATTCATTTCTGAAGATGGCGTATAAGAACATAAATGAAGTATTATTGAATTAGTACACTATTATTATTCATCCTGGCGAAGTTGTCTTTGCTCCAAAAAATATATATTACTTCAGTAAAATTACCATTGATCGATGAAGTGTGAAAAAAAAAAAAAAAAAAAAAAACGGAGAAAATTGAAATATTATCAGGTGACAATTATAAAATTATATTCATAAAACTTTGTAAATTAGTTTAGTTCATTCCATGTTTCAACATCATAAAGAATAAAATTATAAAAGTAATATCTACATTTCGTTTTGCTACAAAATGAGAAATTTGCATATTCCACAATCTTCATAATAAAATTAGACAAATTTTTAATTTTCACCATCTAAACTTGGCCTCCATCCAATCAAAATTTCAGCATAAATCTTATTATCAACCATTTATCATTTTTAATGCCTAACACCATAATTTTATAGGCTGTTTAAGCACAGTGTTATCAGAAATTAATTATTAAGTACTTTGTTGTGATGCGATGTATCGATTATGAGAAAAATTTCGATGAATAAATAATTTGCTTGTCGTAACATCGTCAAAAGGAATATTTATGCAATTATTTATAGCAATGAATTTTGTTAAAAATTCTTAAAAAAACAAAATTCTAATGAAAAAAAAAATGCTTTCTAAATTTGAGGTAACAAAAAAATTGTGAATCTCAAGAAACAATAAGAATAAATCATCAGTGATGCATTATTACAGTGATTTACAATGATTTTATCATGATATTTTCTCATTATCATAATTTATCATAATTCTATCGCGATGATGTGTTGAAAATTTTCAACTATGATTTACTCTAATTTCTTATTGTTTGTTTTCGGTTAATTTTGTTTTTAAATGGCATGTGTCATATCAGATTATCTGTTTTATGAATGAGAATATGTAATTATGATTGTTTGTTTTAAGATTATTATTATTCATGGTTATATGCTAACTTTATGATTTCGCGAATTGGGAATAAGTAAATTATATACGTTATAGAAATAAAGCTAGAGAAGAAAAAAATCTCTAAGAAATATCAGATTATCTCAATATGGACAATCGGAAAATTTGATATAACTATGACTAATGTCTTTACCCCTAACTTTTATTATAAATATGATATTCCTTACGTTACTTCGAAATTTTCTTGAATTTATTTCCAAAATGATCCATAATTAATACAATAATCAGATAAAGAAATTATCAATAAAGCGACGAAAGAATAAATTTAGAAATAACTCGAATTTGTGTCTGAAACTTTTCAGCAAAATACTGGCCATCTGCTTTGCCGTATTCGAAACAACCCATATCTCAAAAATACTTAGGGATTTTTTGTTTTTTTTCTTCAAACATTTACAACGTTTACTTATTTTTATGATAACGTTGTACGTCAATAGAACGATAATTATTACCTTCCGTTGGATTTGTCGTATTCGAAACAACCTATATCTCAAAAATTTGGTAGTCACGATTATGCAGAAAAATTATAATCTATTAAATTATCCGTGTTGTTAATATTCGAGTAGTCTAAATCTTATTTTAATAGAAGAGATCGATAAAAGAAACTTTTGAAAGGCAAGAAAGAATCCTAAAAATATGGAGATAGTATATACAACTCATATCTAATCCACTCATTCAATATCCATTACTCCTGCTCTGCTAAAATGTTTTTGAATAGCTGAGATTGACTATTTCATAGTGACCATACTTGCAACACCGCGAGTATCAAACTGAATCCATGCCCAAGATAGGCAGTATATTTCATGATTAGTACCTTCAATAAGTTGTGCTTCTTCTCCCTTATTCTCTTTTCTCCTACTCCCGAGAGTCTCATTTTTACGCGAATACTCGCAGTTTCTTCACTGTTTTGTTTTATCATCTATCTCAGTTGCTTTTGTGTAATATTTTTGTGCTTTTCAACCTTTATTACGTTTTTTCTTAACATCTTTTATTTCTATACTATTCTACCACTTTATTTATTTTATAATAATTTTCATCTAGGTAATTTTGATTAGGGACATTTCAAATTAACCAAGTAAAACCTGCTATTATCTACCGCCTTTTTCTTTTTCCTTTTCCAATCAATTTTATTTATTAGTCTATTTTGGAATCTTAAAGTTCTTTTTAGCTTACTTAATTCCGGATTGATAATTTTGGGGTCATTTGTTAAGTTGGTCATTTTGTTACACTTTTGCCATTTGAAAGTTATTTTTTAAAAGATGTTAAAATTGCCATTACTGTACTGTAAAATCTGCATGCTCACGAGATCAGTGCTTGGTAAAGAGATTTCTGATTCAGATATAGCTGTCCTTACATCGTTTTTCAGATGTCGACATTGTATACGTGTTCAATCAGTGGTGAGCCAGCTGAGGTACCCGTTCTATCGCCTGTTTCTGGGCGAATTTTTGAAAAACGACTTATTGTGAAATATATTAACGAAAATGGCACTGATCCATTTAAAAACGAAGAACTTACTATAGATCAGGTAAATATTATAAATATTTTGGATTGGTTTCTCTTTAAAAAATTTGAAAATTCAACGACTGCAACGGAAATATTAATCGTATGCTTTTTTTTGTGTTCTATTTTCTGATTTTTTTCTTTGATTCATTTCTGCTTCGTAGTTAGTTGAAATCAAAACTGATGTGGCGAATGCAATGCCGCGTACTATCACGGCAACATCAATACCATCAATGCTGAAAGTGCTGCAAGATGAATGGGATGCATGTATGCTGAACAGTTTCATGTTACGTGAACAACTCCAAAATGCACGTCAAGAATTATCTCACACATTGTATCAGGTTGGTGCATCAGTTTACTTTGCAATGAATATAGCATAATATTTTTCTTTTTGACTACTATGCTTTGATTTAAAGTTTTATTTCTTGTACAATACTAGTTTGTGAAATATATTAAACACTGTGTGAAATTTCCTTTTTGACTTTAACATTAACTTAACGTTAAAGTTTGGAGAACATTGAGATGTTTTAATGATTCCTTAAAATTTCCTTCTTCTTTGTAGCATGATGCTGCTTGTCGTGTGATTGCGCGTTTATCGAAAGAACTGAATGCAGCACGTGAGGCACTTTCAACACTGAAACCACAAGCAGCGGTTGATGTTGGCAATATACAGGATGAAATGGAAACAGTTGATGAAGGTGTCATTTTAAATTTTTTAATTTAATTTTGATAATTTGGAACAGCATAGTACTAAAATATCGAAGGCATCCAGTTCCTCTTCGAATTTCATCAATATATTTTTTATTTAGAGAACTTTTACAATCCTTCTATATTAGGTGTGCAAGGAATCAACGAAGTGGTGCTGAAAAAATTGCAAGACAAAGCGGCTACTTTAACAGTTGCACGAAAACAACGTGGAAAGAATTTGCCGGAAGCATTGTCAAAACCAGAGCAAGTGAAGGCATTCATGCAGATAGCATGCCATACCGGAATTCATAGTACAAGTGTGCCTGGATTGACAGCTCTTGACGTTCAGGTAATTTTAAATGTTAATTGGGTTTTTTCGGATAAATCACCCACGAAACTCGGTAGCGGCAAATTCTTAAGAAAAAGTAGGTGTTGTAAACAAATTATCTTTCAGGACAATATGATACTGACCGGTGGGATCGACAAGGGTGTTGTTTTGTTCAATAGTGAAACAGAAACTGTTATATCAACATTCAAAGGACATCAAAAGAAGATATCGGCTGTTATTCTTCATCCAACGAAGGACACATGTCTTTCGGCATCTTCTGATGGGCAGGTACTGTTTATACATCCGAAAAATTTAAGAAAAAAAAAATTAGTTAAGTTTTAAGATGCAAATCTAGCTTTGTTAAATTTCTTCTTAAAAGGCGTCCAACATTGTGATTCCTAACTTCATGAATTATTGTATTGTGCTGTCAAGATTGAAGGTTTCTGCTGTTCTAATTGTTTTGTAACGCAGTTTAGGTCCGAGTTTGGTCAATCAAAGGGGAGATTTGTCGTCATGTAATTGAAACTCATGAAAGTGCTGTCACTGATATATCTTTGCATGCTACTGGTGACTACGTCCTATCTGTTTCGAATGATTCTTCATGGGCTCTGTCTGATATTCATTCCGGAAAAACTCTTTGCAGAGTATGCATTTTTTTTTCTAATTTCTTTCCCTAATTGAAAGTTCCTGGACTCCTTTAAGTTTTATTAGCCGGGTTTGAAGTTCTAGATCGGTGTTTTGATTTTTATATTTTAAAATGCTTTGTATTTTTTGACTTCTTCAAGATGTTATTCGGTTGAAGTTCATGACAATTTAATGGATGTTATTTAAAGATGCATTTGTGTTTAGAAAATAATAATGCCTATTTTTTTAAATATTGTCCAGTGTTTACTTAATTCAGGTTCACTCTGATGATAAAAACAAAGTACCAATTTGCTGTGGACAGTTCCACCCAGATGGTCTAATCTTTGGTACTGGAACAGCAGATTCCATCGTAAAAATTTGGGATTTGAAAGAGCAAACTAATGTTGCCAATTTCCCAGGCCATCAAGGTTTCTTCTTGTCACACTATTCGATGCTAGATTAAGTTGAAACGATGAGTTCAAAAAGACGGACTTTTTATTTATCAGATTTTCACAGTATGAAAATAACATGCTGAACTTTGTCGCATATTTTACTATGCTCTATATTTATTTCAGACCATTAAATTTTCTTTTTGTTTTTTCATTCCGGTCGGCATAAACATGCGAAAAAAAAATGGATTGTTAGTTATAGAGAAATGTGAGCAGTGCATACTGGGGAGCAGTTAGTGATTGAATTTAAGTGAAATAAATAAATAAGAACATAATTTTTCAAGGTATGGTGAAAGCAATCGCATTTTCTGAAAATGGTTACTATTTGGCTACTGGGGCAGAAGATGGTGAAGTAAAGTTATGGGATTTACGAAAACTAAAGAGCTTCAAAACAATGACAATCAATGAAGGAAAACATACGGTAAGTTCGTTTGCCACCGAAATTTTTTTT